TGCGCTGTCATCAGTGTTGTTTTGGAGGGTTTAAGACCATCTCTTAGTGTAATGAATTTTGAAATTTTTACTTGCTTGCTTATATATTCACTTATATATTCATAGCAAAAAAATAATAATATAGAAACAAAGATTTCTAAAATTTTCAAATCAACATTTTTAAGTTTTCTTATTTTATAGATATATAGATTATACGCTAATATTCCATACTAGCAGGGCGGACCCGTAAAATACGGGTCTTTACCGAACCGACCATTTTTATACTTATCTGATCATTTCTATAGCTATCAGGACGTAAAATAAGGGTCTTAGTAAATCTATTCCACACCGACCTTTTCTATACTTATTCCTTACCTCAATATTTTTTTAAAACCGTTTTAAAAACTATGTGCATATAAAAAACTATACTTACTTTTTGATATGACAAAAAAATTTCATTATATAACGTTATAATGTTCTTTAAAAAACTTTAAACGCTTTTAATATTATGCCGATTATAAAGATTTTAATAAGAAAAAACGTAAAAAAGACTACGAACTTTGAAAAATGCTAAAACATTCAGCACGTGATGCCGTTAAAGTACGCCTTAGTTAACGTTCATAACATATACACATCTAATTAGATTTTTTTAAAATTCAGTTGTTCCAAACTTGGTTTTGAATTTTTAGTTACACTTCTTATGCGTCATAAATTATCTCAAATTCTAAATAGAGAATACGTTTATGGGCTAATTGGTAGCCGCGCAACACTTAGACAGATATAGTCATCTCACCCCGGGAGTTCATATTCCAGTGACCTTTTTTTTCATCCCAACTTACAACAAAAATAATTAAAAATAAATGTTATTATTGAAACAGTTTTAAACATTTCTTCCAATTTTTCTTTGAACTTAATTTTATTCACGGTAAATATACTTTTGGTGTTTGTAAGCGTTTTTTTACGTTTAGTATTGGTAGGAATTATTTGCACGCACGTATTTTAAACAATTATTTTTACTGTTTCATCTAAAAATCATATGTAATTTAGTTTTATAATTTTTTAAATATAATATATATAATTTAAAATATTTTATTAACCCTATTTAAATAAGTATCAAAACTCTTTTCTTTAATTTAAAAGAATGCCTGCCCAATAGTGATGTAAATTTTCCAGTAAAATTTAATTCAAAATTTACCGGTAAAATTTACCGGTAAATTTACCGGTAAATTTTAATTAGAGAACAATAAATTTTCCTTTAAAAAATAAAAAAATAAAAAAAAAAAATAAGTGAAAATTAATTTTAAAATTTACCAGGTGGTAAATTTTCAAAATTTTCCGGTAAACTTACCGGAAAATTTTCCGGTAAATTTTACCTTCGCAACACTACTGCCCAAACCTAAACCCTCAGTTGATGTATCTCCGCTTTGCTTTTATTTGTTAACCGTTAGAAAAACATTACAAAAAGAAACATAATAGAGTCCATTAGTTTATAGCATCCGAGTAGACTCTTCCAATATTAAACAGAGTATCTTACAATTTTATTGGTTTTCTAAATTCTGTCATAGTTGCGCACTCGGTTTAGAATATTTAACGGGGGCGTAAATAAGTAACTGTAAAATTCTAAATATTTTTATTATTTTAAATTAAATAGTTTTAACGTTTTATTATTTTGAAAAATAATAAGTTCAATAAAATAATTTATTTTAAAAATAAATTTAAGATTTTTAAAGTTTTTTTAAATAAGAATGTTTTTTTTTAAAACCCCCTCACTGTTTTAAAAAAATTTAAGGTCGCCGCGTGGCAAGTTCAAATCATCAGCTTGCTTTTTTTAATAAAATTATTGTTATTTAAAATGCAAAACAAAACAACTTTATAGTTCTAAATATTTACATGTTATATACCCAATTTCTTTGCGCTAATACGACTTAAAAAAACATGACAAATAATAAATTTAAAATTATAATAAATAAAAGTTTACGTAAGTTAGCACACACTTTCGTTAATGTTTTCTTATAAAAAGGTGCTGCGACTCTTCCTCGCCAGTACCTCGGTTGCAATGGCTGCGTTGGGTTTTGTGTCAAACGTGCTCGAAAGGGCACTACTACTATTAAGTTCCTTATTATTATATAGTGATGATAATGATAATGCGTGCAAACTCAACATACGCTAAAGACGTTTATACTTGCATACGTTTATACGTAACGCTATTCAAATGAAATTAAGTAGATCTAAGCAGATCGAAGCACTAAACATAATACCATAACTACAAAAAATCAAAATACAACAGCAAAAAAGACTTCTCGTTATTAGAAAAGTTTACTTATATTACATAAAACGTTATATAAGTGGATTTTTGACATTATTTGCAATGTATATATAAACAAATATTGAAAATATTTATTTATATATACATTGCTTACATAAAGATGGTTGAGCGCAACTAAGTTAAAAAAAAAAAAAAAATTATATCAAAATTAAAAAATGATTTATATAAGGTTTCTTTGCAAAAACCAACGCCTAT